TTCTCTTCCCTTGCTCTGCTTTCCCAGGTCTGGGTTTGGTTCTTTGGGCTCTGCTTTTGCCACTTGCCAGCAGAGAGAAAAATCACTCCTAATAGCCTTTTAATGGCCCTGCAAATGCTTCCGCCTTCACTGGAGGTCTCTCCACTTTGAAGGTCTCTGAGGGTTTCCCTGCTGCCTCCAATAATCTGGGCTTCTGAAAGAGAAGCTCAGCTCTGGAGTAGAGTGTTTGTTGAAGAAGCTGGAAGGGAGGCGGAGTAGGGTCATGAAATAAGAAATCCAGCCAGCCAGCCTGCCCAAGGCATTGGGGTCCATGATGCCAGCTCCTCCTCTCGGCCTGTGGGAGGGTGGGTGATGCTGGAAGCTTCAGAGCTGTTCTTGGGAGAACACAGGGAGGTGGGCCGGTGAGAGGTTGGAGACCTAGCCTCAGAAGGGCCTGGAGCAGCATGCAGGGAGCTGGAGACACATCTCAGCCACCTGACTTTCCCAGAGTCCCCGCTGCTCAGAGGCTGTAGCACTCCTGTCCCTCATGCAGGGATCTCGGGTCTACACCATAACTGTGCCTGGGGGGTGCCTCCCTTCATTTTCCTGAGGAGAAAGCTGAAGATCAGCTCAGTGAGGTGAAGCAGCAGTAGTAATCACAGCAGTAGCAAAACACCGAGCACTTACTGTGTGCCAGGCATGGTGCTAAGCACTTGCTTTTGTTAGCTCATTGACTCTTCAGACATTCTATGAATTAGGTACCAGTATCCACTCTCTTTTTTAAATAGAGAAACCAAGTCCCAGAGAGGTTAAGCAGGTTACTTGAGTGAGGCCTCATAACTGTGAAATGGAGGGCCACATTTCAGAACCCATCTACCTCCAGGACTCCTCTTGCCACCCACTTCTGTGGCCTCTTCTAGGCTACATGGCTTTCCAAGGGGCACACTGGGACAAAGGGGAGAGATGGCACTTGGACTGTGCTCATTTCCTGGCGTTACTGGGCTGATTCCAGCCTGATTCCGGCCTGATCTAGTTGCCAAGTTCCTCCCATGCAAGCTGTCTTTAAAATAAAGCAGGGTGTATATGTATAGGCGGTCTCTGGGAGGATTAGCCAGAAACTGGAATTTGCCTCTGGGCAGGGAACTGGGTGCTGGGGAACAGGGACAAGAGAGAAACTTACTCTCACCCTCTACCCATTTTATCCTTTTGAGTTTTGAAAGGTTTCAAAATACAGATGCATTCCTTGTCTTAAATTAAGTGATGTTATCTTATTAAAAAATTAGGAACAACTAGGTATATACCCAAAATAATTGAAAACAAATGTTCACACAAAAATTTGTACAGCAGTGTTCACAGTAGCATTTATTCGCAATAACCAAAAGGTGGAACCAACCCAGATGTCCTTTGATGGATGAATGGATAAACAAGGTGTAGTGTATATAATAGAATGTTACTCCGTCGTAAAAAGAAATGAAGTACCAACACATGCTATAACATTGGTGAACCTCAAAAACATTATGCTAAATGAAGGATGCCAGACACAAAAGAATACATATTATATGATTCCATTTACGTGAAGTGTCTAGAATAGGCAAACCCATAGAGGCAGAAAGATTAGTGGTTGCCAGGGGCAGGGAGGAGGGGAGGATGGGAAGTGACTACTTATGGGTACAAGCTTTCTTTCTGGGGTGATGAAAATGTTCTGGTATCAGATAGTGGTGATGGTTGTACAACACTGTAAGTAGACTAATAACCATTGACCTATATACTTTGAAAGGGTGGGGTTTTGTTGGGTTTATAGATGGTCTTGCTGCGTCACTCAGGCTGGAGTGCAGTGGTGTGATCACAGTTCACTGTGGCCTTGATCTCCCAGACTCAAGTTATCCTCCCAACTCAGCCTCCTGAGTAACTGGAATTACAGGCATGTGCCACCAGACCCAGCTAATTTATGGATTTTTCTAAAGATGGGGGGGTCTCACTATGTTGCCCAGGCTTGTCTTGAACTCGTGAGCTCAAATGATCCTCCTGCCTCGGCCTCTCTAAGTGCTGGGATTACAAGCATGAGCCATGGCACCTGGCTAAAAGGGCGGGTTTTATGGTGTGTGGATTATATCTAAATTGAAAAAAATTAGGAACCATGCCTCCAGATGGAGTCAAAGGCCATGGTCTGTTGTCAGCACTCTGGACAGTTTGCCGTGGTGCCACCTACCATACGTATGGGTCTCTCTCTACCCATTCTTTAGCCACCTGCCTCACGGTCGCCATGTCAACGGAGGCTGGAGACAGCAGTGTTTAACTTCGGCAGCACTACCCACTCATTTGGAACTTACACTTTCCACAAGGGCCAGCCTGAGACGTGTGGACGTCTGGGCAGGCTAGTAGCTGGCACCCCATCAAACTGGTATTCTTTAAGTGTTTGTTTGACATTTATTTAGTGGGGATGAGGAGAGACTGATATTCTATTAATAGGAATCATATAGAGAAACAGATTCACTTGCTAATTCACTTCCATGGACTGAAACAGAGTCAGGGATCTGAAAAATTTTGAGGAAAGCGATTCTGACTTCTGTTGTTCTTGTCTCCTAAGGTATATTTTTGTTTTTTTTTTCTTTCCCCTGCAGTTTTCCAAATCATTCAAGAAGTATATTGAAGATTTAGGCCAGGCACGGTGGCTCACACCTGTAATCCCAGCACTTTGGGAGGCCGAGGTGGGCGGATCACGAGGTCAGGAGATAAAGACCATCCTGGCTAACATGGTGAAACCCCATCTCTGCTAAAAAATACAAAAAGAATTAACTGAGCATGGTGGTGGGTACCTGTAGTCCCAGCTACTCGGGAGGTTGAGGCAGGAGAATGGTGTGAACCCGGGAGGTGGAGCTTGCAGTGAGCTGAGATCGTGCCACTGCACTCCAGCCTGGGTGACAAGAGTGAGACTCTGTCTCAAAAAAAAAAAAAAAGTGTATTGAAGATTTAGATTTAAAACTTAAACGAATGAAATGACATTTGTTCCTGGGAAATAGCAACACGATGTATTATTTGGTCTTGGATGCACTGCTCCCCTCCAGGACTGTGACTACACATGTATGGAACGTACATTACACACAACAAACCCCAGCAAGGAATTATGTTTTGTTGTGACTTTCCATGTCCCCTTAGGGCAGTGGACAGGTTCACTGTTTACCATTTATGTGAGGGGTCACTGGAGGAAAACTGAGTTAGCCAGCAGCACATTTTAATTTCTTTCCAGGGATGTTTTGAGCCCCCTGCCCCTAGAGGTCTGTTCCCCAAATAGCTGCCTACTGGGTTGGCTCCTTAGCCTGACCCTGCATTCACTTTTTTCACTTTTAATACTTTTAGTCAGAAACATAATTCCCTTCAGTGCCTCTCTTTGCATTCCGAGAGTGCTTTTTTCTCATAGCCCCTGTGGATCTGATTCTGCGAGGTGTGAGTCACCACTGCCCTTCTCACCTGCTGAGAAGCATTGTGGTGGGCTGGAGCAGGGCTGGACTACCAAATCTGGCTCGCCATTGATGGGTGTGTTACCACGGCAAACCCTCAACCCTCTCAACAGCTTTCCTCACCTCAAACATGGGGAGACTTCAGAGCTGCTGGCCTCAGCTGTGGCCTACAGTGGCTTGTAGAGGCAAGGCTGGAAGGCCAGCTTGCTCATGGTCACTGGGAGGGCTGGGACCTGCATCCACCCTGCTGCGGGTGCCTGGGTTGTTTCATTTGTTCTGGGGGTCGAGGGTGTATGTGGGTGTGTACATGTAGCCATGAAGACAAGGGGCTGGGGCAGGACAGCGATGGAGCCTCAGTCCCACAGAGGAGCCTGCACGGGGGTGGGCATGCAGGACGCAGTGGCGGTGGTGGGGTTGGGTGCGTGAAGAGCCGCCCGCTCCCTGCAGCCACACCTCCCACTGCTGTGCATTGCTAGCTATCTTCACACCTCCTCAATTCCACTCTCCCTCCTCTGACTCTTACTGTCTGGCCACTCACTTGGCAGTTGATGACTTTGTCATCCCCAGCCACCATTCCATTTCCCTTTGTTTGGGACATGCTTGCCCCTAGCGGGCATGGACTGGTGTCTGAGGAGACCCCCACCATGCCTGTCCTCAGCTCTTAAAGCAGGGTTGCCCTGGAATTGGGCATCAGTTCCTGAAACACTCCCAGCTTCCGTAACCAGCAGACAAGCGGCCTCTCTGTCATGGTCATTGGAGAGCCCTGTAGGCTGCTACCTGCTCTCTAGGCCCAGGGTCAGGAGGCTTGTATGTGTGTCAGGCAAACAAGAATGTGTGTTGAGCTGCGAGGTGGGTTACCCGCCTTGTCTGTGGTCCCTGTAGGAGCCCTGGGTTGGGTGGTGGCTTCAGTGGTACCTGTGAAGACTGTTGTCTCTGAGGCTGTTGGACCTGGGACTCTTTGGAAGTCCGTTTCTCCAGTTTTTTTCATTTTGTTTTGAATGCTTGTCTCTGGCCTCTGTGTAATCAGATCACACTCTGCCCAGCTGGAGGGGCTTGCTGGAAGGCTGGAAGCCATTTGCATCACCCCACAATATGACCACACCCCTGCCCCGGCATCAGGATGCCATCCTCTCGGACTATGTCTCCCTCTCTTCTTCCTGCATTATCTCATTTTCCAGCCTCCCCTCTGTGGTCTGAAGTCCTCCAATCCCAGTGGAGTTCACAAGTGAAAATCAAGGTTTGAGACAGAGCTCCAAGGGGCTTCTGAAATAAGATGGCTTATGGTGTGTGCTGGTAGTCTCAGTTCCCACTCCCTGAGCAGTTTTCCTAAGTAGAAGGGTGCCGGCCAATGTTGGGGTGTATCTGTCGCCAATACTGAGTTAGGAACTTGCCTCCTAAATGGTCCTGGACTGGGTCCCTTTGTAAAATGGAGACACCTTTAGTCAGATGTCCCCTGTTCAACCCTCTTGGTCCATCGGCATTGTGAGTCTCCCAGTTGGATTGGTGTGGAGTGATCAGAGTCCAGGTGTCTCACCTCCTCTCCCATTGTGCTTCTCCCTGCAGAATGCTGGCACGTGTGTCCTGGTCCTTGACACCCTTCTGTGAGCCTAGGGACCCATTTCTCCTCCTGTGACAGGGACATCAGTGGAACCGTCTCAGACCCACAGGTAAAGCCGTCCACCTGTGCAGTAGCACCCAACTTCCCAGAGCTGGGGCCCTGCAGGCCACCCTAGCCTTTGGAGTTTGAGGGTACAGAGACTTTATTGCTGTTTCCTTTTTCCCCTAAAAACCGGACTGTTGTTGGGTGCAGTGGCTCACACCTATAATCCCAGCACTTTGGGAGGCTGAGGGAGGAGGATCACTGGAGACCAGGATTTCAAGACCAGCCTGGGCAACATAGTGAGACTGCGTCTCTACAAAAAAAAAAAAAAAATTTACTGGGTGAGGTGCCACATGCCTATAGTCCCAGCTACTGGGGAGGCTGATGTGGGACGATCACTTGAGCCCAGGAGTTCGAGGCTGCAGTAAGCCATAGTCGCACTATTTCACTCCAGCCTAAGTAACACAGTGAGACCGCGTCTCTTAAAAAAACACTGAAAACCTGACTTTATCTGATTAATGTGGGGTAGATTGTATTTATTGATTATGCTTTTGCAAATATTGACTTCTCTTCACTAAATAGGAAAGACCGATGTTTTGCCTCTGGTAGCTTTCAATTCCAAATACGATAAAAACTCCTTGGGTCAGCCTTTGAGTCCCCAACGGCTGCTAGTCTCCTGTTTATAGAACACCCCAGGGTGGCTCTTTTCTGTTTGCTGTTGAGGCTCAGCCTGACCTGCTCTTCCCTTAGTACATGGAACAGGACAGGCAGGAGTTTTGCTTCTTCTGTGCCTTGGCTGGGAAGCTCAGGCTCTGGCTACTCCCTGGCTTTGGCAGAGAGCAGAGGCTGGGCTGCTGCCTTGCTCAGCTGCCCACAAGTCATGGTCAGTGGCCCAGAAACAAGCATGAGTGTGTTTTTTAATGCACCATCCCTCTGGATGCACAGTGAGAAACCAAGGCTGAGTGGAGGGCAGGCCTGAGCCTCTGTCTTGAGTCTCAGGGAGTGCTAGGTCTAGAGATTGAAAGGCCCAGGGAGATGCAGTCTCTCCCCTCCCACCCCCAGCTGACAGCAGGAGCCCCTGGCCTCCCAAGCTTCTTTCCATTTCGTATTTCTGAGTCTCAGGCACAAACCCTGGCCTTGGCCTCATTTTCCATGCCAAGGCCTTTATTGGGTGGAACAGGAGGTAAAGTGATTTTTCCTTCTTTTTTTCTAAATTTTGATGAATCCTTCTCCCTGTGCACTCATTGGCTAGTTTCAGCTTTGGAGGCACGGAGGATGGATGTTCCATCAAGGAAAGCTAGCAAAACCAAGTTGAGGATGCTGGTGGGGATTAATGGTTTAATGTACCCAGCCCCTGCTGCATGGGGCTAAGTCCCACAGTAACCATGAGCTGTGCCTGTTAGGGTCCCTTTTTACACAGGAAGCCGAGGCTCAGAGATGGCAGATATCAGCTCCAGGTTGCACAGCTAGTCAGTAGTGGGATTGGGATTGGACCGAGTCTTGACTTGGAAGCACATGGCATGGTTTTCCAAATTTGGCCCGTGACTCACAGGGCCCTTGGTTCAGCCCAGGCTCAACCGTCACTTGCTGTCTGATCTCAGGTAAGTCCCCTCCTTTCTCCAGGTGCCCTCATCCTCTCTGGGAAGACGGGGCACATTGTGATGGGGCCTCTTAAGTTGCCTCTGGCTCCATAGTTCCAGGCTGGCACTGTGGGCTGTTATCTTCTCTAATTGCTCATTCTTTTCAGTTGCTGTGAAAAGGCCTCCAAGTGCTAAGAAGAGAGAGTGCTATGTTGTATTTTTTGTTTTTCTGTTTTGTTTTAATTCACTTTCCAAGGTGTCCCAGCTACTGGGAGTGGGTGTAGGGAAGGGCGCATAGTAACACTCAGCCCTGACTTGCAGCTTCTCCAGGGGTCACTTGGGTTCTGCGGGGTTGGGGCCTCGTGGTTGTCCTGTTGCCAAAGGTCTTGGCTGCCAAGTCGAGGCAGGGCCCAGTGAGAGCTCTTCTGCCCTGCATGGCCTGAGCACTGACATTGCTCTGAGGGACCCTGCTTCAACACGGCCTTGGTCTCCTGTCTCCTTTCTTATAGGAAGGAGGTTCTTTTCCTTCTTAACAACTGCATTCCAGAGTGCAGTGACTTTGCAGAGACCATGGCCTTGCAGCCCACCTCATCCGAAGGTCTTCACTTAGACCTAAAATATCTTCAGGAATTGTTCTGCTCCACTCATTTGTCCATAAAGTATTTATTGTTACTTAGTATGCACCAGGGACTATTCCAGTTGCCAGAGACGCCACTGTGAACAGGCGTCCTGCCCAGACAGGCATCCCTGCCCGCATCTAGTTTATATGCTGGTACATTCTCTGTGCTTTGCTTATGCAGTTCCAGCATCCTGAAGTTCCCTCTTCCCACCTCTACCTGTCAGGTTCCTGTTTCCCCTTCCAAGCCCATTTCAAACAGCTCCTTTCCTCTAAATTTCTTTGCAAGACCTGGGTCCACATTAGCCTCTTCTTCCTCCCTCTGTGCTGTCACGGCATACTGCTTGAACCTCATAGAATTCTTGGCATCATTTTCCCTGAAATATTTCGGTAAGTGTCTGTGTCTGCTGTCGGCCTGGGAGCCCTGTAACGTGGGAGACTTGCCTTTGGGTGCCATCCTTTCCCCCCAGGTCCTGGACTAAAGAGCTGGTACCACCTGCTTTTCTCAAAACCCACCCAGACCCAGAAAATGGCAGGCTCTATGTGAGGATGATTAGGGTTGCCCCCTCCACGCCTCTGCACCCCTGCTTGGGAGTTTGTGGCATAGTGACCACCAGGCCCTGGTAGCAAGAGTCATGGGGTGGAGGGAGGCCACACTCCCTGGGGTCGGCTAAGAACGAGATATTTCCTTCTCCTCTCTCCTCCACAGGGGACTGAGGAAGGAAAGGGCTAAAGGACCAGGGTTTATTTTTAGAAAAGCTCCTTGCTGTGGAGGAACCCAGAGCCCTTCCTTCCAGAAGGTGGGGGTGGCAGGTGGTGGGTGGGGGTAGCTGGGGTTGTGTCTCCTAGTACTGCCTGGCTGTCTTTCACAGAAGGGGTCTGCCTTAAAGATGAGGGTCCTAGCCAAGGAGATTATTTGTCCTCAGCCCCCACAGTTGAAGACGTTGGCCATTTGGCATTGGTGAGCAGAGCTTCTGGCATTGCCAAGAGCCTCAGTGTCCCTCAGGCAGGAGCTCAGCGGGGAGGGTCCTGGGCCCAGGCAGTGGCTTCCTTCCGGACTCGGACTCCCCGTGGCTCAGGCAGGGAGGGGCACTTCCTGCCATTGTCTCTGTGACAGGCCTCAGAAGGTCACTGTCTCCTGAGGAGAAAGAGAGCTCATGACATGGGCAGGGCCTCAGACCACAGCAGCAACGACACAAACTTTCCAGGGCACGTCCCTACCTCCCCATGCTGTACCCCCACCCCCACCTCCAGCCCTTTGGATGAAGTTCCATCCCAGGCGAAGAAGGGGCTTCTCTCCACCCGCAGCAGCATTGGAGCCCTACCCATAACGAGGGCCTTACTTCTTAGTCCCTCCTCTCAGGCAGCCCCAGGTCCCACATGGGAACATGGGCCTGTCCGTCCCTGTGAGGTTTAGGTCTGTGATAAGTCTCACATGTTAGAAGGCTGCCCAGAGAGCCCAGAGCATGCGAAGGCTATGGAGAGGAAGTAGAGGGCTGAGCACCCTCATGCCTGGAGCAAAGATGCTGCCCTGAGGTCTGCAGAGAGCTCCTCCTCAGTTCCTTTGCTGTCCCCACAGAGCTTGGTAGGAAGCTGGGCACAATCTGATGACCCATGTCATGCCCTGGCCAGCTCTGTCACCTGTGCCCCTCCTGACTGCTCCTGTCTATATTTCATTTATCGACATGGTTCTTTGACACACACCGGACGCTGCTCAGTACGCGGGGCTTCAGCCAGAAATTGCTGGCTCTTCTCAGTCTCCTCTTCTTCCTGTTCCCCGGAGCTCTGGGGACCCACCCCTACATTTGCCTTGTTTGCTCTGATGCAGCATGTCTTCCTGAGACTGTACTTTCTTTTCTTCCTTTTTTTTTTTTAAAGGAATTATTTATTTACTTATTTTAGAGATGGAGTCTTGCTCTGCCACCCAGGCTGGAGTGCCGTGGTATGATCATGGCTCACTACAGCCTTGAATTCCCAGGCTTAAGCAATCCTCCCACCTCAGCCTCCTGTGTAGCTGGGACTACAGGTACATGCCACCACACCTGGCCCAGAATGTATTTTATTTTCAACCAGGTGGCAGAAGCCAGCATTCCTCTGGCTTGTGTTGAATTGTGCTTCAGAAGGATGTCCTCTGGCTGCTGTGTTGAGAGCAGGCTAGCTGGGGTGAAGAGAGGAAGCAGGGGGCCTGTGGTGAGACGGTTGTGTTTCTGGGCGATGCTTTTGGTCACTTGTTGAGGTTTGCACAGGCATACCATGCTTGCCGGGGAATGAGCATGGGTCTGTTTCACTTGCGCTGTTCAGGATGGGCAGGGCCGGGAAGGAAGCTGGCCTGGCCTCCCTGAGGGCGTGTGAGGCCAGGTACCCTGCTGTCTCGGTCAGTAGTGGTCTGGGGCTGGGGGTTTCTCTGGATCTCTGCCTGTAGGTTCTTAGCATGGGAAACTCTTTCTCACCACCTTTCTTCTCTTTCTTCCTCTCGTTTCTGTTTTTCCTTGGCTAGCTCCTGTCTTCGGTTCATTTCCGGTACTTCTCCATGGTGGGTGTCCAGTGCACCCATGTTGATGACCTCATCCCGCCTGCAAGGAGGCAGCTGGAGGCATGAGGGCTCAGCACTCCAGGTGCCTAGAGGCATTCCCGTATGCACTGAGTCTTCATGCCTCCCGGTAGCCAGGTGTCGTAAGCAGGAACTTTCTGGATCTGTGTCCCTTGTGTCACTTCCTTTCTTTGTTTCTTCACACACTTCCTGAGACACGAACCCTGCCTGGAACAATTGCTTTTGTTCCTGGAGACAGTGTTCAGAGCTTGGAATTCTCAGAGGGATTCCTGAGATGGCACCATTCAAGCCCGGGGGTTGAATAGCTTGAGACTCTTCAT